GGGTTGATGTTGAATATGATGAAGCAATACCAATCTGCGGAAGCGCCCCCTAGCAGAGATACGAAAATTCGAAAACTGCCATTGCCGGTCTCACGCAATGCCTATATAGTACTGTATCAATATAGTACTGTATAGTACTGTCCCCATCACGATCGAATATTCCTCACCTCGAGAATCTTTGTCAGCCCTCAAATCTCTAACATCTAAGGGTGAATATCGGTTTCATATTGTCCCTGGCTCGTAACGCCGTCACTTGCTTACACAATTGCCTCTCACTCGCTCACTCGCTTGCTCACTCACTTGCTCACTCACTCGCTCACTCACTTTCTCATAGTCTCATCATTCACCTACTAGCATTCATTCCGTTCACTTCATCATACAATAACTCAATCTCCATCAATCCGATCACCAGACATGTGGAGTCATTCGAGACTTGAATCAGAAGTTTGTTTCAGCCGGGAACAAGCCATAGGTTAAGTTAGGTTAGGTTAGATTAGGTTTTTCAATGTTAAATCATTTCATGAGTCTCTTTTTGCGATTCCTGGAAGATTCTCTCGCTGATCGAGCTGCAAGGTCATTCCGAGCAAAAGAAACTTCTTTTCTTGAAAAATTCTCCTCAACTCGGGGCTCAATGTCTCCTTTATCCATCAAAAGACCAGTCCAAAGCATAGAAATGGTTCCTTCAATATCTTCGCTAGGGGGTGTTTCCGCAGTTTGACATTGCATCATCATATCCAACACTCCCCCCACTACTGATCTGTGAAGTTTCATCAAGATCGGGCATCGGGGGGGGGGATGTTTAAATCTTACCCTTGAAATCTCTACTTTAGGACCCTGTAGTTTGATTTTAGAATTGATGTATCCCTACCACAATAACACCGTAAATGTGAGGTCATGTTTGCAATATTGAAAATTACAAAGTTTGACGAAATACATGGACTTGCCACATTTTTTTTTTGGTGATACTGTTTACAGCAGCATAAAGTTCAAACCTTCATCTTTAATTTTCAGTATGTGAAAAACCGCTACCATTTTTTTCCGCAAGGATATAGAACTTTAAAGAAACCCTTGCATTTATTGCACATACCGTCGGCATTAGCATTACCCGATATGCACCTCGGAGAGGTTGCTGGACAGATTTTGCACATCATATGGCTCTGACAAGAGCCTCTTTTGTGTGTATTTGTGTGCGAGTATCTGTGTATGTGTATGAATTATCGTCGAGAAGCCTCGTTAAGAATCATCGTGTTATTGTAGTAGGGATGCATTAATTCTAAAATCAAACTACAGGATCTTAAAATAGAGATCTCAAGCTTTAATTTTAAAAAAATAGCATAAATTTGTCATGATTTTTCACGGAGCTATCATCAGTCAAATTTGACCAATTTTTGCCTAAAATTTTTCTATGCCATATTTCTTTTGAACAGTGTATACACATTTCAAATGTTACGCTAAAATCGAAAACTTTACTTCAATAAACTATTGCAAGTGACTATGAATCGAATTATGAGGAAAATCTCACAAGTACTTTGGTGAACGTTTCTAAAGGAGTCTTCCCCTTAGTGGTGGGGATAACTTCTTTGCACATATCATATAGGTAATTTTTTCAGATATCGAATGTTTACCGTACTTCTATTTTTTCTCTTCGTTTCACACGTTAACGTATAATAAAGTTTATAACAATAATTACTAACAGAAACAAAATTAAATTCTAGTCATATAAGCTACAATATATTTAAAAATGATAGGCTTCATGCTAAACGCGGGGATAAGTAAAAAACTTAAGATAATAAGAACCTAAACAACTTCCATCAAAAATAAAATATTCAAACCAGGACTGAAATAAAAAGCAAAATAAAAGCATAAAAATCTGAAACAGTACTAAAACACTAAAAGTACTACCCACTATTAAATTTACCCACATTCTAATTTCCGATTAAGTGATATCTTTTAATACTGGGTAAGTAAATAAACGTAGTATATGCTACTCATCAGACAAAGATCCTGCATGGGTCAAAAATATTTTCTTCCAACATCACTGGAGTTTAAATGTATAGTATAAATTACTTAGAAATCAAAGTATCGAACTTCGCTTCTTCGGTAACACCGTAACTAAAGCAGTGTACCTTCAATTTTTAAAACAAGAGCTTTCAAAATTATTGGAAAACCTGTCTTTGTACAAAATAATAAAACCGTAATAGTACAAAGTACTCACCATTACAGAAATGAAACAATTAAAGTTAGATGAATAGGAAGGGGAGAGGCCCGTGTTTTGATCGTGTAGGTCACAAAACTTAATCTTGCTAGATTTTTTCTTTACGAAGATATTTAGACCATAAAGTAATGGAAACTCCACCTATCGCAAAAGAAGATATGAAAGTTCGTATACAATATACTTGTCAGTCGGGAAATGTAATAATAGTGTCTGCTGTACAACACAGCACTATAAAACGAGTAAATATGCGGTTATAAGTAACTGGTAGTAATTTTGAATTTTGAA